GCGCAGCCTGAAGCTCCTCCGCATTAAAACCAGGTTTTAGTACCAGCAAGCTAATAAAATAATAATACATTTCGTATAAGCACAGGGGCTTTCCAGTGCAGCCATACAGCTCAGGTGTTAGTTCTCCCCGTGACTCAGTGTCGTAAGCTGTTTGTAATGATGCGGTGTGTAACTCTTATGTACCTGTAGCTCGGAAGATGAGGTGGATGTGCTCTTACATGGCACTCCTGACCAGAAGCGGAAGCTGATACGGGAGTGCCTGACTGGGGAGAGCGAGTCCTCCAGTGACGATGAGTTCCAAAAGGAGATGGAAGCGGAACTGAACACCACCATGAGGACTATGGAAGACAAATGGCAATCGCCAGAAATGGGTAAATCATGGTTAACATCCACCTGCACATGATATCGTGAGTTAAACGACGTCTACTTAAGGTGGACACACTTAAGGTGTGAAGTTAATGTATTATTCTTGTGGCTGGAGGGTGGGCTCGAGGGGGTGGTGACAGCTATGTGCTGTGTGAAGCCTACAGAAAAGTCTTAAAGTGGCTGATTGTGTCTGCAGAAAATGGTCACCAGGTGCCACTTCAGTGTACTGCATATTTTGTGTCCAGTTCTGGTGTCCTCAACATAAAAAGGACATGGAGCTGTTGAGGCAAGTCCAGAGGAGGGCCACGAGGATGATAAGAGGACTGGAGCACCTCCTGTATGAAGACAGGCTGAGAAAGTTGGGGCTGTGCAGCCTGGAGAAGAGAAGGTTGCGTGGAGACCTCATAGCAGCCTTCCAGTATCTGAAGGGGGCCTACAAGGATGCTGGGGAGGGACTCTTCATTAGGGGCTCTAGTGGTAGGACAAGGAGTAATGGCTTTAAACTGAAACAGGGGAACTTTAGGTTAAATATAAGGAAGAAGTTCTTCACAGTGAGGGTGGTGAGGCACTGGAATGGGTTGCCCAAGGAAGTTGTGAATGCTCCAACCCTGGCGGTGTTCAAGGCCAGGCTGGACAGAGCCTTGGGTGACATAGTTTAGTGTGTGGTGTCCCTGCTCATGGAGGGGGGGTTGGAACTAGATGATCTTAAGGTCCTTTCCAACCCTGCCTATTCTATGATTATATGTTTCATGCAATGGTTTGTGTCAGAAGGGACCTTAACGCTCATCCAGTTCCAACCCCCTGCCATGGGCAGGGACACCTTCCACTAGACCAGGCACCTCAAAGCCCCGTCCAGCCTGGGCTTGAACACTGCTAGGGATGGGGCAGCCACAGATTCTCTGATAATGCAATATAATTAATAATCCATTCACATAATTTATTTTACACTTGCCTGTTGTTTTTTGGCTAAAATAATGTGAAGTCATCATAAGGTGCCTGAAGTTTGCACATGGGCATTAAAAAGATGACTTATATAGAACTTAAAATTATGAAGAACTGTTTGTATAGCATTTAGATTCTGATTCATCTGCCCTTGACTTTAAGTACTTAAGCAAGGCACTCAGGCCAGGATCCTAGCAACTCTAAGCCTTTCTCTTTTAATCAATAGAAAAAAGTCTGTGAAACAATGCACCACACCTGTATTTCTTTCACATAACCGAAGGTTTGTGGAGTGTCTGGGATTGCACTGATTATACAGGGCAAAGGCAGGCATATTTAACGTGGTGTCCTCAATGCCTGAGAGAGTGTACCTCCGGAGAAGCTTTTCTTTGAGCTGTACCTGAGGTTCATCACGGAGTGAGCAGCTTCGCTCTGAGAGAGCACCTGTAAATGAAATAAGGCAGGTGATGTGGATGATCAGGATGTGGGACTAAACTGGGAGAGCTATTACTTAAGAAGATAAAGCAGAGCACTTCTAGATAGAGTAACTTAAAAATGAAGGTTGGTTCTGGACTGTATACTTGCTGTCCTTTTGTCGGGGTGTTCTTACCACTTCTCTAATTTCACATGTAGGTACATCCTCCAGTACTGGGCAGACTGGACCCGCCACCGCTTCAAAATACTATGATGATATTTACTTTGATTCTGATTCAGAGGATGAAGATAAAATAGGTAAATGACTGAGGAGAGGAGAGAGGGGGACATCTTTACAGTAGCACTCTCAGATCCTGTAGAATCCCCTTGGGGCATTAAGGGGCTGTTCCTGAAGGTGGCCTTTTGGGGAGAATTACCAGCCTGCACCATCTCAGTGTAGTTCTTGCAAGTTTATGATGTATCCCAATGTATGCAAGATATGTTAATGTGTTGGGATGAGGAGAATGAGCTAGACCTTTATGGTTTAGTTTAGATTTATTGCAAGTATGGAAAAGGAAAAATGAAAAATGGTATTTTGATTACTTTAGTAGAGAATCAACGCATGTCTGATGGATGTAACGTGCACTTGCACAAATCTTCCCAGTTACACAGGACATCCGGAAAAACAGAAAACATCAGCAACGTCGGATTCTTTCCAACGATGAACTGCTGTATGACCCAGAGGAAGACAGTAGAGACCAAGAGTGGGTAGACTCACAGAGGAGGGGGTAAGAGACCAGAACAAATATTTGAATTGTAGGATGCTTAACATAAGCTAGAAAATGTAAATGAACATGATGAATATAGAGGAAAAAACCCATGCTGTCAAGTCCATGCAGTGAAAATATTTTTATTTAGAGTTTACAGCAGGTGAAACTTAAAAGCCTGTAAAATTTTTGTGCATATGCAATGGAAGTGGAGTCTTCAAAATTACACAATGCCAAAACTTACAGTTTTTTAAAATTTGAGACTTCCTAGTTCTGTAAGCCAGCTTTGTTAGCAGGTCTCATCTAAATAACTGTGCAGTGGATGAAAAGGTTGTGAGATACTTTGACTGCTAAATTAATCTCTGTACCTGCTAATTCGTGTATTTTTAGTTTTGGAAAACTTTGATTTCTAGCAAGCCACAAAATGTTCAGATAAAACAGGAGCAGCACAAACCTACTTTACTGAGGGGTTTTGATGGGTGAAGTAGAAAATGGTTGTTGCAGGTAAAGTAGAATTCTCCATGTAAATCTGACAGAAAGGATAATACTAACGTATGTTCCCTGCACTTGAGATACCCACCTTGACAGAGGAGAGGGTCATTAGGCACAAATTCTTGTGTTGGATATATTTGTCTCACCAAATCAAATCCTCTGTACAATGTAAATGAAAAGATACTGGTATAGTTTTTCTCTGGTTTATTTATTCATGTGCTTTGAGTTACCGACAAAGGTGTCCAGAAGGAGATGAGTATTAATTGGTGTATTTTAAGATAAAAAAAGCTTGACAATTAAATGGATATGCCCAACAGCAAGGGCGTGTGGTGTCACTTGTTGTCTCTCCTTCCTCCTTGCCTGAATTGCTAGGTACCGTAATCAAAGAAGGGTGCTGCAGCAGCAGCAAAAACCTACAGCTGTTCCAAATAGTGATGCTGTTTTGAATTGCCCTGCTTGCATGACAACGTTATGCCTGGACTGCCAGAGGTAATTAATGGATAATAAGGGGTCTTTTTGTAAAGTCTTCTTTTGGGCTGGTACTATTTTTAGGGTACTCAATTTGATAAATCGATTTTATCGATTCTGCCTTGCAAGGTGGCACTAATAAAGAGAGGGCATGTACCTGTGAATCACATTTAGGGATGAATGCTAGTTTGTAAGAGTGATTGTCAGTTTAACCTGCAACATGGAGATGAGGAAGAACAGGGAAGAACTTCAGCATAGGGGTGAATGTGAGCTGTTTAAAGTAAAAAAAAAAAGACTAAACAGGTAGTTCAGGCTGATTTATGTTTTTTCAATATGTTGGTTTGATGTTTAGATGTGTGAAATTATTCCGGGTTATTTTTGTGTGAAAGTGCCTTGTTTAGGGGAGGACTAAGCAAAATCAAGATAGTGTATTCTAGCATGGTTTGAGTCTTAGCAGTTGTGGTTTTGAGTGTAGTTATATTTAAAAGTGCTCGGTAAGCATTTAGGTGAGACTTCTCAGTGTGTTTTTCAGCTCTCCAGTATCTGACTGCACTGCAGAACTACTTAGTACTGCGAACCTGTGCTAAGGAGGGGACTCTTGAACTGGGAGTAAAGAAATGTTGTGAGATGAGGAGTAAATGCCTCTCATTTACTGAGTATTTTTGGTGATTGAGGATGAAATTCACAGCAGCCTAGAATCATCAAAGTACTGGGTGCTGTTTTTCTCTCTCCCCGTTGCTGGCTTTGGTACTGCTTGACCCTGTTCTACAGTTAAGTATTTCAGTTTGCTAAGCTGGCAGAAAACCGTCTGGTTTTGCTGTTAGACTGGCCTTTTGTGGGTTTAGTAAACTGAAATAGCTCAACCCAGCCTTATACAAGCAGTAAAGCCAGCAGAAGTTGAGACAGGGTTTCTGCAGCCACCTGTTACGTGGGTTTAGGCTGCTGTAAAACTGCAGCCCGAGGGACATGGAATTGAATTGAATTGAACTGCAGCCCTGAATTTTGCTGCATATTCTAGTTACACAGTTGTTACACTGATGACAGCCGAAAATATATTTTATTATAGACATGCTATTTCAAGTGTGGTGTGTTGATGCTTGTTATTTATAAATTAAGGAATTTCAGGCTTATAAGACATTTTAGGATATCGGTGCCAATAGTTGAGTCATGTGCACTCACACCTTTGTGATCTTTTGTCTACTGTCAGCTACATGTAGCAATGCATAATTCTGACGTACTCTGAATTGTGTCAACCGTTGTACTCCTGGGTGTTTATTTCAGCAAGAACCAGTGTGTTTTAAAAAATGCCTTAAAAACAAGATAGATGGCTGCAATTCCATTTTTTTAATGATTTTTTTTGTAGTTTTGACTTGACCTGTTTATAAAACTTCATGTTTATTTGGCGTTCAGCCCTTTGACATGGTACTTGCTGTATTTAATCCCATTTCCAGTGACAATAATGGATTTCTTGGAACCAGAGTTTTACCGGTGGTATGACTTGCATTTTCTCCCCTTCTCCATAGACATGAATCTTACAAAACGCAGTACAGAGCCATGTTTGTGATGAACTGTGTTGTTAATAAAGAGGAAATTCTGAAATACAGGAAGAAGCCAAAGAAAAGAAATAAGAAAATGAAGCACAGCAAAGAAACTGCCTCTGTACAGTCAAATCAAGAAGAGGAGGAGGTGTATCATCCAGTATTGTGTACTGAATGCTCAACTGAAGTGGCAGTAATGGATAAAGATGAAGTTTTTCACTTCTTCAATGTTCTAGCCAGCCACTGCTAATGTGCAAAAGCAGAGGGAAAAAATCCTGCACTGCTTTAAGACTATGTCAGAAATGCAGGCATGTTAGCCTTTTTTAAGTATGGTCTTCTAAATGTACATTTTCATCAGAGAACTTCTAAACTTTGTGCAAAGTTTACGAAGGAAATACAGTTCCCAGAGTGCATTTGAAAGTGATACTCTTTCACTCCGTCAGGTGGTCCATCATTGGGGATTTAAAATTTTGTAAATATAATGTAAGTTCTGTGTATTGTGATCATTCCCTGTATATATACTATCCATTAGCTCAGTATGTGTTAGAACTGCTGCTTAAAATAAATACTGTATAGTAACTGGTTATCTGTATATTGGTCATTTCTGTGACACGTGTTAACTCTCAGGATACTGGGCTTCCTTATGCTGGTGTTCCTGGTAGATCTGCGCACAGGTAGGTTTGATAAAAGGAATTGTCATTGTTTGGATTTTTGGCCTGTTAAGATCTCAAAAATGGAAACTTTCATTTCTACATAGTGGAAGATCAGCTTATATTGAGTTTGCTGGTGTGGATAATTAAATCAATGTATTAATGCTTAGTAATGCGGTTAAGAGAGTTAAATGTATGTATCTATATGAAGAAAGTACTGGACTTCTCCTTTTATTGTCATTTTCCCTTAAAATGACACATTTTAAGAAGAAATTCATGACATGATCTATGACCATAGACCTAGTTTATATACTTTCTCTGTTTCTTTAGCACGTTTACAGCTTTAGGGAAGCATAAAGAGCTTTTGCTACTTGATATTTAGACATCATGCTTAGTCTTTGAAGCCACTGCAGTGTTAACAATGGACCCTTCCCTCTTCGCTGGGCATGCTCTCAGGAGGTAAACTCCTAGGGGTTTTTTATTAGTAAGTAATGTTTCCTCTTTATATAGCCTGGTTTTTTTTTAACACTTCACTTTGAGCAAGGGTCTATCTGAAAAAAATTCTCATCTTTATGCTTTTAATAGTACTAGGAAGAATTTATTACATTTGTTTCGAGGAATTGTCAGAAATATTTTAACTTGGGAAAGTAGGCACTTGAAGAACAGACTTCTGTGCTTGACATGATAATAAAGTCTTGTGACTCTCTGGTTACCTTTTGTCCCCAGTGTTCAGCAGCTGCCTTGACATTTCTCTCCTTCATCAAATGTAGGTTAAGTTTCTGCTGTAGGGCATGCTGGCCTCTGTGTAGCTGTCTTCCCATTCCAGATGAAGTGCGAAGGCTTTGTTGTAGCTCCAGGTTAAGGGTCTTTGTATTGAGCTCACTGGAAACGTGAGCATGTGGGAATGTAGTTCAAAGGCTCAAGCATTGATGTGGGTTGCAGCAAGAGGAACTATAGGTGATGGCAGTCCCTAAGCAGGGGTAGAATGGATCTGGCAAAGAGGGGAAACTGTTCAGAGGAATACTGTCTTAAGGAGCGAACTACCAAATAAACTGTCTTGTGGGTATGCACCATACTGAAAAGCTGTAAGGGGCCTGGTGGGCTAGGGCAGATTTTGAAGTTGACATGCCTCTAGACGTTACCTTTCCTCATCCCTTTCTTGCTGTTGCTTCTTGCTTATCACTTGAATTGCAGAACTTCTAGTTAGGAAACACAGGAGCAGGCAGGACTGCGGCTTGTTTGCCCCACCCATGTTGATAATGTTCTTGCAGCTTTGAATGGGAGTAATGCTTTAGCTGTGCTGAATACCCTCCTTGTCCTTGAACTTTGTACATGTTAATGCAGAAAGGAGGCTTTCATGATTACTGTATTTTCAAGCAGCAACACTAACACAAGACTCCTCCAGCAGCAATTTGCAATAAGCAGCAGCAGTCTTGGGTAGGGACAACGGCTCCTGTAGCCGTTTGCTGCAGGGTATTAATTGTGTGAATGCTCTTTCTTCTTTGTGTGCTGAAGGAAGTCTAAATAGGTGAAGTGTGTCTATCCCTTTAGATACACCACACACAATACTTTTTTCAGTTATCTGCTGGTACCGCAGCTGTATTTTGCAGCTGTGTAAGTAACTCCTCTGTGCATCTTCCTGTGACTGTTTCCTCCTTACTCATTGTACTAACAGCGCAGGTGAAGGTAGGGGTGGGGTGGCTGCAAGAACGGAATCACGCAGCGCAGTGACATAATCACACATGGATTTACTGTGCGGGGTGAGTATCGATACCAGTTTCTAATCTGCGGTGTGCACGCCTGGTGCGTGAGGGCCTGGCTGGGGGCTGGCTCCACTGCCTCCTGCTCTGCTTAGTCATGGGGCCCGAAGGTTGTGTACACCCCCTTCCAGCGGGCTTCCAGCTCCTGCCTTCCAAACTAGAGTGCGACCGCACGCTGCCAGCAGCCTTTCTAATCATGCAGTCCCAGGCCAGGCTCCAGGAATTTCTCCGTATCTTAGGCTGATGAGCAGTCAGGGCAGGGTGTCCCACACCCTCTGCTCTCTGGCCCACATGCCTTAGGGAAGTGCCAAATTAGCAGCAGTTACAGTGAACAGTTGGTTTCTGGCATCCTTATTTTTCCTGTTCATACGCGATCAGCCTGGTCGGAGTTGGCCGATGGTAAGGTATCTCGGCCATGGGCTTGGGTGGGCTTTACCCACTGAAGCCTCCTGAGCATTTCCAACACGCTTCCCGTGGGCCCTGCCGAGCAGTCTCCGTGTTTTCCGTACTTCCCCAACACGAGTTTGGATCACGCGGGACGGCAGACAGCCGCTGCAGCACCGTGCCCCAGGGGG